GCTGTTGTGAGCCACCCAAGATGAGTACTGGGAATCAAAGCCAGATCCTCGGCAAGTGTAGCAAGTGCTGTTAATTCCTGAGTTATCTCTCCAGGTCCTCCCTGAGCCATCTTGCTGGCCCTAGTCTGTGCCTCTTGATTGGCGTGTTTAATTCATTCATCCATACATCCTGGACACAGGTGGTATGCACATCGAAGAAGGGAGTGTCTTGTTTGAGCTTCTCTGGAATTCAGCTTCTGCAGTGTAAGATGTACTATATCTTGCCAGTTCACGACTAGGTTGGACAGAGGAAAGCAAACAGTAGTCTTGGCTGTGCTTGCCTGGAGTCAGGCTTCTAGCATGCAGAGAGTGAGGAGGAGCCAGGGTGGGGTGGGGGCAGAGTGGGGGTGGGGCAAAGGGAAGTGGACTTAGGGCTGCAGGCACTGCTGCTCTTACAATGTTTTGTCAGACCTTCTTGAATAAATATCGTTTGAAACAATTAATTGATTTATTGTGTATGTGTGTCTGCTTGTGTGTATGCATATGTCCTATCTGCATGCAGGAGCCTGCAGTGGTGGGAAGAGGTGTCAGATCCCTTTGGAACTGAAGTTAAGGGTGCTGGGAACCGAATCCCAGTCCTCTGCAAGAGCAATACGTACTCTTAATCACTGAGCCATCTCACCATCCCTGAATAAATACTTGTTCATGACAGAATTTTGCTTGACTGGTTGTCAAGATGGTTTTCAGCAGTTTGCTTGTTCTGCAGGGGGTTTGTGCGTTGATTCCTAAGACTGCTGCTTCAGAAAGGGAGACCACCTTCTAAAATATTGGCTTCATTTGGAAATTAAATGTTTAGTTTTATTTTACTGTACTGGGCTGCATAAGGTGTGTTAGTCCCAGTTATCTAAAGGAACAGAACTGATAGATTGAATACATATATTTTAAAAGGGGATTTATTAGATTGGCTACATGATGTGGCCCAGGTAGCCCAATAATGGCTGTCTCATGGTGGAGAGACTGAGACCCAGCAATTGATCAATCTATGAGGCTGGATGTCTTCACATTTCCGGTCTGATACTGAATCTGGAGGATTCCTGGAGAGTTGCTGAGCTTCAGTCTACTTTGGAGCTGAAGAGAATGCTTCTAATACTGGTGGAGGAATGCAGCAGCAACAGGGTAGATGAATTTGCTAGCAAGAGTGAGGACAAGCAGGCAACAAGCAAAACTTCCATGCCTCTTAATCTGGGCTGCGCAAGAAGCCCTAAATTAGTGTGGGTCTTTCTGCTTGAAATAATCGGATCAAGAAAATTCCCCACGGGAGAGCTCAGAGGGTTGAATTTTAGTTGATTCCAGATCCAGTCAAACTGACAACCATGATTAGTCCACACATAGGCCATTTTCACAAAAGTATATGAAGTGCTTTGAGCATACGACATGCTTGGCACTACCTCCCTCTCTCGTTTCTCTCCCCTCTCCTTAGTCCCGCTCTCTTCCCTAGACATCTCCTTTCCACTTGGGTGTGAAGTGCACACACATGGTTTTATGTATCTATGTAAAATATAGGATCCACGAATGAGGTAATGTATGTGACACTCATCTTATTGAGACAGACTTAATCCAATCAGTATGGGAATCAGTATAGAAGTTCTTCAAATGACTGAAAGTAGATGTATATGACCCATCTACAGCCCTGCTGCGTATGCACTGTAAGGACCCCGAGTCAGCGTCACAGGTACATGCACATCAGTGTTTCCTGCAGCTCTATCTACAACAGCTTTGTTACAGAACCAACCTCGGTGTCCAGAGCAGAGGAGTGGGTAGGTAAGATGTGGCTTAGGCACACAACGGAAGCTTTTCCAGCCATAAAGAAAAATGAGTTATGTTGCTTGTAGGAAAACAGACACAACTGAAGATGATCAAATTAAATATTATCTATCTCTCTATCTCTATCTATCTATCTATCTATCTATCTATCTATCTATCTATCTATCTATCTATCTATCTCTATCTATCTCCATCTATCTATC